TGCTGAACTTTTGACTGACAGAATGCAACATGCAGTAACATTTCATGTGATTAAAAGTGTGTAATAACATCTCATTAAAAAATCAATCAGTGATTGATTTTGTGACTGCTGTTGATAATTACAATGATATGAGGTGTTTATGAATTTAATGGATGTTTTACCTCTCACATCTAATATACCAGTTATAGCAGGGGTGTCAAACTCATTTCCACCACATCAGCAGTACAGTTCCCCTTGAAGGTGGTAACTGTAAGACTGTATAGCTGTTACTACTGCATAACATATGAATTAATGTTTCTGCAATTCATTGTTATTTATTCAATTTACAAATATTGTAAATTGCTCTATGTAATAATAGACTTTATTATAAGGAAATTAAACACTTTTTTTAAGGGTAGCACAAAATGACTTGGCGGACCACGTTTGGCCCTCGAGCCTTGAGTTTAACACATAGGATTATTTATTTATTTACATTTTCTGGCAACCCAAAAACTACATCCTGTCGGCCTGGGAGTCTGTTGTCAGGACTGACTGGAACAGGATAAATACTGTAACAACACAACATTAACGGTCCTTTATCTGTGTTTTCTGTAACTGCCACTGATTGAGCTCCACTTTAACACCTGTCAGTGACTGTGTGCTGTGTTTTGTCTCAGTTTGCAGGTTGCATGGTAATCTGGACTTGATGCATGGCAGTTGCATGACCACAGTAGGTCTTGTTGTGGGACTCGGAGCACAAGGCTGCAGCCATGGCTCAGACCATGCATGTGAATGGCAACGTTTCAGGTAAATACCCTCATTTCTTTATACATGTATATTTAACTGTTTGTTTGTTTTTTTCAGTCACTTTATTATGTTGAGTTTAAGTTCTAACAGGTCTGGTCTTAATGTTTTGTCCTTAATGACTTTGTTTTGAAAGGATGTTATGGATTATTATTATTTATTTATTTATCTATTATTAATGTATGTTTCCCTGAAGTCTCACGTTAAAACATCTCCAGTTTGTCTCCCACTGCCTGGTGCTCATCATGGCTAAATAAAACCTGGCTGGACAGGGCTACAATGGCACTAAATGTGGACTGGGGGTCCAGTTTCAGGTTTACCTCAGCTGTGTATATTTAAGATTTCTATGTTAAGCCTCAGTTCAGAATAAAAGAGTCATCAGCTCCTTTTTTAACACTTTTCTGGAGTAGCTGCAGCAACTCAGCGAAAGTTTAGGAGGTTAAGTGTGAGTTTGCTTTAGTGGTAGCACAAATGCTAAACAAAGTCTGAAGAAATGTGTAAAAAGATTCAAACACAGAAGTTCTTTAATGGATGGAGTTTGTTGCCATATTCCTCTCACATACCTGCAGGAATGTGTTTGGTGGAGGAGAGATTTTCCCTTTAAGTTTTTCTGAGGCGCTCACACCGCGCGCACACACAGAAGATTTTCTCGTCTCGGTGTGAAATGAATGCTGTCAGCCGAGGCGCAGCTCTGAGCACACACCTGCAGGTGGCTCACATTCCTGAACAGACTAACAAGGGAGAGTGACGCTTCTTACTTCCAAATCCCTCCAGGAATGCACAGCACGCAGGAGACTTGCACGTCGGGCCACAGCGTCCGTCTGCACATCCATATGTGTTTGACTTTGAGGTAATATCTCTGCAGGGTGGATGTCTTGTCCAAAAGAAAAGGAAGGAAGGAGGGGTCAGAGTGGGGGGGTTCACTTCAAAGGCTGAAACACAGCAGGCTGTTTTTTTTTTTATTTTCACTTTTGCTACACAATGTTAAATAGTGAGGAATGCTGAGCTAACAGAGGGAACCACCTCCTCCCTCTTCAAACTATAAAATAAAAATAGCATCGCTGCAGTGCTGGCAGTAGACGTGCCAAAGTGCTGCAACTCATCAGCTGCACAGAAAGAATGTCAAGAATATAGGAGTATTTATGCTTCGGTCTCGAGACACTGCGCAGCTCACGTCGTAGTGAAAGTCACTGTGGTGAGTTTAGTCCTTGATCAGAGGGAAATGTTGATGTAGTTTGGTCTGAATTTGCTCCCGTTCTGGACGTGATTCTGGATGTAAAATTCTGAATGACTTTTCCTGGAGATTGTAAGTCTAAGTTGTGTTTCCTGACAGTTAAGTCTTAGTTTCATTCTTAATCCCCTGGAGACGGTGCGATGTCAGTGTGAAGCCTTATGTAAATCAGTACGTCCACTTAGAACTCCACTGCCCACATACTCCCACATACGATTTACTTTGGCATCATTCTTTAGCAGTATAACCACCAGATGGCGGACCTCTAGTAACTTTTCACAACTTTTTTTTGTTCCAAATATTATTTTTGAGTTTTCCGTCCAGACGAGTTAGTTGGACACATTCACCTCTGCTGCTGTTCTGTTTCCTCTGGTCCAATGTGAGCAATACTGGGCAACAGCCGCCCCCTCCCCCCCCAAACTTTCTGGTGGTACTTTGGTTTCTCTTTTTTTGTGTGTATACATTCACAAGAGCTTCACAAAAAACTGAGCTACACATTTTACAAAGGCAGACGAAGATGAAAGGCTTTGTACACTTACTTAGTATTAAGCATAAATACTTCAACTCTCAAAACTGATCCCCCAAAAAGTAAGTTTAGGAACTCAACTCAGTTAACATATATAATATATATTTATATCTCGGTTAATAAAATCTGTTATTCAGTTTAAATCACATTTTCTCTTGTTTGGTTTCAAATCCACTACTTTTTTTTTTTGCTGTTACGGATGATTTTCCCAAAATAAAATTAAATATGGTTCAAATGAGGAGCTCTATTTATGTTTTGTAACATTGCTGTTGGTTTCTGCCTCTACACAACACTGGTGCCTTCTCATTCTCAACCCAGCGATGGAGCAAGACCTCCGTGTGAGGAAATAACTGCCAGATGTTAAACGATAAAACACCGGCTGATCTCAATTCACTTAACTTATTCCATTTAACCTGCACTAAGGCCAAGTGGTGCGGTTTTACGAACAATTTGCAAATTTTAACTTCAGTCGTCTTTTTTCTGGTCAATATTTGGCTAAATAGCTACATATTATTGCGATCCAACATTAACGTTGTTTAAAGCCAACACCTGTGTCTGTCATGTAGACACAGCTCTATGTCTAAAGTATAAACCCTGCTGAGGCCGAGCTCAGAGCTCAGAGCAGAACAGTGGCTGTGGCCTGACGTTAACACCGGCACTTAGTCATGGACACAGTTCAGAGTTGTCAGAGTTTGCCCAGTGGCTCTGTCTCCCGCAGCCCTTTTTCAAACCCCCACTAGAGCTGTTTTTGTTTCCGCAGTGAGGACGGACCGGACTGCCACTCTTAACGCCCCCGTGGTACTGTTCAACCTCTGCCCTGTTTGTGTGTGATTTCTGTAAGTGCTGCAAGGTTTTTACAGCGTGTGTCAAAAGGGTGCTATGGTGCTGGGTCTCAGCCGACTCAGTGGGATAATCGAGTCTTTGATTCTCTCCTCAATGGCACTTACTCTGTCCACGCAACAACATCTGAATTAACTGACTTGTTGCTTGTTCAAGTCGGACTGTAGCTCGTTGTGCAGTGAGGGCTTCATTCTGCAGTGTGGCACGAGTCGTACACGACGTTGCGCTGTTCTCATTCAGAGACGCTTTAAGGGAAGAGGAAGGCACCGTACCGCATAAGAGGGTGAGGCTTTACCTCGAAGAAAAATTAAAGCCTGTGACAAACTGCAGGTAAAGGTAACATAGAGACAAGATTGCGTTGGAGATAAACTTTTGATTTACGTTTTAAACAATTTGACAACATTTTTCTTATTTTCTAAGTTGAATTTTTTTGGCATATTTTGGCTGCAGAGAGGATCATGGTTACTGTTCTCTGAATATCTGCCTTGGATGCAGGATACAGATCTGGACTGCAGGCAAGCCAGACAATCACATGCTCTTTGTGTTTATTTCTGTGTTTTAATTTGAACTGACTGAGGTCTGGCTTTGTCCTGCCAAAAGATCTGCTGAGTTCCTGGAGGAAAAAAATAAAGAGTTGCCTTCATTGAAGCATATGCTTTCATGACATGCCTAAAACCAGTAGGTCTTAGACATGTCAGATGACTAAGACAGATGACTCAACTTTGTGTTGAGTCATCTGCAAAGAAATTGATGTATGGTTTTAAATCAGTGGCAGACATTAAGTAACATTGATTTTTTTGAATGATTTCCTGAGCTCATGTGAACTGTGGGTAATCGTTGTAGCACGGCAGTTTCTAAAGCAACACTACCTGAGTGACACAAGGACAAAATTAACAGCAGCTTTGAATTCCTAAACTGTTAAAATCCTATCACAGGTTACCAGCTGATAGAGGAGCCTCCAAAATGTTACTTGTATGTTGAAGTACAATTTAATTTACTTGTGAAATACGTGGCAGATTTTACATGACCTTTTTAAGTATCTGGTTTTTATGCGAGGAAAATTGTACTTGGTAACCATTGCCGAGAAAGGACCATAATGGGTAACATTTTGAAACTGCCCTGGTGTTTTCAGAGGAAGCCAAAACATTTCCTGAGGTCCGCATCATCATGTACAGAGTGAGGTTGTTGAATTTGGCAGTGGCGTGCTGCACAGTCATTGAAGTTTGTCAAAAAAAAAAAAAAAAATCCAAAACAGCAGCTCAGTCTTGTCCATTCCACTGCTGTTCCACAGGAAAGGTCGGGGAAGTGCGTCTTTTTAGTAGTGATTGTTCTATCGTTGTGACAACGATTAAGATTCTAGTTTGTTGGTTCTACTTTTCTAGTCAGTAATTTTATGCCTAAAGCTCACAGGCAGAGCCAGGAAATACCAGGCTGGGTGTATGAGAAAAAGCTCTTTGTGTGTGTGTGTGTGTGTTAGCGTCCACCCTTCATCCAAATACTTGCATCATGTTTAACAGTGACTATTCCACTGTAATAATCCAGTGTGTCTGAATAATTTATGAACAAAAAAGTCTATCTTCTAAATGACTTTTCTTTATTCAACCACCAAAAATAACGTAGCCGTATGTGATTTTTTTTAAACAGCTTCTGTTTCCTAAAGCACGTATTAAAGAAAAGTTTGAACTTAAAAAAAAAAAAAAATTAAAACCTTTGTTTCATTCCCAAGTTGCAGTAAAAACGTGCATTGTTCCTTTAAATGGAAAGGGAGGTCAGTCGTCCTGTATCAATGTTGTGTAATCCCTGTCAAATTGACAATGCAACAGCTGCAGATCGCTGCAGCGGCGGTGTCACTGTTGGCTCCCTGTCACTGGAGCGTGACCTCCCTCGGTCGTCTCGTGTGCATGAGGTCATCGCTCAGCTGTTGAGGTTCTCTGCTGTACCAGAGACCAAACCTGTGACAGGGCAACATGGCTGCCCCATAACTGGTGCCTGGGGTGCGGGGGGGGGGGGGGGGGCTTACGTGCGGTCCTTCTCGGGGATCTCCTTGATGGCGGTTTCCTCACACGGCTTATTTATAACAACAAAAACAGGTCCAAGAAAACAAACAAAAACTTTAATGTCATTTTAGCACTTAATGTTATCTTTTCAACGGTCGTTCTGGCCTCACAAACATTTGATCGTGTCATCGTCTGCACCTCTGAACATTTAAACGTGTAAATAAATGTAATCTTATGATTCATTTGATCGTTGAACCACTGGATCAAAAGCTGGAGCCAAAGCTTTGAAAACTCTCAAATCAATGTTCCACTACATGTCAGTGTTTTGTCACGGACTTTAAATGCTTTTAAAAATAACTTGGATCCACACACACACACACACACACACACACACACACACATGTATTTTCACATGACACGACCTGAGTGTGTGTAGACAACACTTGTGTGAAGCCTCGACTTCCACATAGTGTGATTTTAGTAAAGGAATAAAACCTCGGCCTCAACAGTAGAAAAGCTGTTTGTCTTAAGAACAGCCTGTTGTTGTAATGAATCATGTTTATATTCAGTGTTGCAGTGCCTGTGGTTAAGGGTGGTTTATTTAGCTCCCCGAACCCCAACCACTGAATAACAGAACTTTTATTTGGGATTGGAAGTGCCTCAGCTTAAAGCCTCCCAGGATTGGAGGACACAGCTGTCCAATGGGAGGCCAGGGCAGTGCTGCGCTGAGTTTACACCAACAGTGGGACTTTTTTTTTTTTTTTTTCCTCTCTCTTTTCCTTTCCTTATGGAGAGAGTATTGAGAAAGAGTCCACTGTGAGGAGGAGAAAACAGCAGTGGATCAGTGCAGACAGCCTGGTCTCTGTGTGTGCTGTAAACCCTGTCCTTAAAAACCAGGCAGCAGGAGAAGACGAGGGGTGGCAGGAGGGATTGAAAATAAACATGGAGAATGTGGCGTTGGTCTGAGGTGAGTGGAGCTGATGAAGTTTTAGCAGCTGCTGTTTCTGCTGGTGATCCTCCGGTTGTTAGAGCTTTAATGAAGGGGGTTGACAGGAGACTGAAAAAGGGGAAAAAAAGAAGCTGTGTGTGCGTGTGTGTACGAGGCCGTGTTTGCGTTAGTCGGTGAGAGTTCCAGACATACCAAAAACAAGACGTTGTGTTTAGCCAACTGCAGACACTGCAGCTCGAGTTCAGAGAACAACATATCCAGAAGAACGTGTGAGGATTTGGACTTCTTTAAAATATGTTTTCTGCTGCTCGGTACCTTGTTTTTTTTTTCCATTTTGGTTTTAAAACCTTATCTTTGCCTTTCAGGAAATGTTGTAGTGTTCACACAAAGATTGGATTTTGACCTGTAAAATATTGACTGTTTGTCTGTCTCACTTAACCCTTTGATCTGTCCCATGTCCACTGATTGCAGACAAGACACTTACAGATTTCCAACAAACCTCGTCAGGCTCCGTTGTGCATTTGTAATCAACATTTGGTTTTTATTATGGATTATATTGCGCCACTTGCTGTTTACTGTTTACGTCACACAGTTGAACTTCACATAGTTTAGGGCTGACCCAAACCATCACTTGCCAGAGTGATTGCCAGTCAGGCTGCTCCAGCAGAGATGTCAGATATTTTGTAGCAAGCTTGTACTTGCATAGTCAGATCACAAACAATCGTCACTGACTGGGACAACCCTTGCACCCCACACTCAAACTCAAGACTTCATCTTGAGCAACAAGTTAATTTTAAGCTTGCAAACGTATCACTCGCTCACACTAAAGAATTGCTTTTGTTTCATTGTTTTTTCTAGAAAGAGGACAAAGATGCTCAAACACAGAGGACGAGAAGGACTCCTACTACGTTGAAACACCATACGGTTATCAGTTAGACCTGGACTTCCTCAAATATGTCGATGACATCGAGAGGGGCAACACCATCAGGAAGCTGAGTATCCAGAGGAAGCCTAAAGTGGCCAAACCCTTGGCAGTGCCTCGGGGCAGCACTGGCGGGGGCAACACTCAGGCTGAATGGACCTCGACAGACTCCTTGTCCTCATCCAACAGTGACGACAAACAGTCTCCGGTCTTCTTCACCTCCAGGCCTCACGTCTCCGCACCACTGACGCCCACCCTACCGAGGGCCACGTGTGACGTTCCTGCGCACCAGTCTTTCTCGATCTCCACAGAACAAAAGCAGCTTCTGCCTCCTCCTTCGCCAAGGTTTGTCCCTCGTCACAATCCCCTGGTGGAGAAGACACTCATGGAGACACGCCGCCGCCTCGAACAGGAGCGGTTGCTCATGCAGCAGCACAGCGACCCCCCGTTACCCCGTCGCCGTCTTGCCAGCTTTGGGGGCATGGGCTCCAGCAGTTCGCTGTCCTCTTACTCGGGCTCTGTCGCCACAGCCCCACCTCTTAACGGTCATCTTACAAACGGAGACTACAACCCCTACTACCCACAGTCCTTGGGTGGCTCCATCCGCCACAGCCCAATGAGCTCCGGCATGACCACCCCCGTCACTAATGTCAGCCCCTTACAACTGCACCAAATTCGGGAGCAGATGGTGGTGGCTTTGAGGAGGTTGAAGGAGTTAGAGGAGCAGGTGAAAACCATTCCTATCTTACAGGTTAAGATTGCTGTTCTTCAGGAAGAGAAAAGACAGTTGGCGTCTCAATCAAAAAATCAAGTTCCTGGAGGTTTTCGTAAGCGTTCCTACAGTGTAGGCTGTGTTGACCAAATGGAGAACCCGGGCCCCATTCAGAAAGAACCGGAGCTGCACATCATGGAGCCTGAAGCACCGGAGGAGTGCGCTCAGCGACTAGAGGAGTTCAGGCGTCTGGCTGCAGAGGTCCAGGCTCTGGAGAAGACGACCCAGGATACTAATGTGAACGAAATACGGCCCAATAGCTTTACTCAGAGCCAAACACACCAGAAGTCTGTGGGCATGGTCACTGATGAAAACATGAACAACCTTAACGTCAGACGGACGAGAACGAACAGTCAACACTGTATGCGGGACGCAGGAGTGGAGACGGAGCGGCGGGAGGTTCGCAGCGCTGCTGTGGGTGTGAGTGAGGCCATGCTGGGCATGACGAGTGAAGCTGAGAAAGAGATTGAGCTTCAGCAGCAGACCATCGAATCACTAAAGGAGAAGATCTACCGCCTGGAGGTGCAGCTGAAAGAAACCACCCACCAGATGGAGATGGGGAAACTGAAACTGGAGCTCCAAGCAGCTGGTGGATCAAACAAGAAAAAAGCAGACAAAGGTATGATGGCCCGCCCGGAGATGTACAACGTCTGTGTGGAGGCCAAAGTTCAGACGCGCAGCCACGGCGTGGGCGACCACGTGGAGTTCAGCCACGTTAGCACAACAAAGACTGTACAGAGTCACACCGTAGGGGTCTCCTGCCAGCCCAGCGTCAGCAGCGTCGCCATCGGCCCCGAGATCCCAATGGACCAGTGGGTTGTGCACAAACGCGTGGCAGTAATTGACCAGTGTGTAGGTCGACAGGTGGAGACGCACCATCAGCTGGTCGGCACAGAGCTGAGTGTCTGTGAGGTGGGGATTAACACAGAGGAGACGGTGGACAGCTTATTCCTCTGCAAACCCATGACCGAAGTCAACAAAGAGTCGAGGTCAGTGGGCTGCGGAGACTGTACCATCAACGTGACCGTCAATCCCATCAAGGAGCTGGTGTCACGGGGGACTGACCCAGAATCTGTCAGCAAAAAGAACTGCGGCATCACGGCTGTCCCTGAGTCCACAACTCAGCAGACCAATACTGAGACAGACGTTGCAGAAAAGTCAACAAACACAAGACATGCTGCGCTGATGGACTCGTGCACCGAAATGGAATTGATGACTAGTGATAAGTGCACCAACACAACTGTGACAGAAACCAGGACAGTGGCTGCTGGAGAAGGACTGGTCAAAGACGCTCACTCCACAGTAAAGACACGTTCGATCGCTGTTGGAACTGCCACAACTGCGGAATCAGTCATCGGTAAATCACACTCGCCTAAAACCAAAGAATGCGGGGTGGGACCGGTGAGCATTCACGAAAACTTCTTGGTCGGCTTAAAGACCAGAAACATTGCATGTGGCCCCTCCCAGACGGCCGAATCGGTCAAATCGGAGCCTGAAACGAGTCAAGCTAAGAACCAGGGAGAGGCGGGACTGGACCATTACATTGAACGGGTGCAGAAGCTGCTGCAGGAGCAACAGATGCTGCTGACGGAGAATTACAGCGAGCTAGCAGAAGCCTTCGGTCAGCCCCAGTCCCAGTTTGGATCCATCAACAATGAGCTGGTCAGCACTCTGACGTCCCTCAACTCTGTCGTGAAGTATGGAAGTGCCGAGGACATCCTCAAACTCCAGGCAGAGTCTGCGGGTTCAGACAAAGGTGAGACTTTCACCACGTCCACTGGTGAGAATGTTGTTGGTTCCACATCACAGTTGTTGATCCTTCATACATGTTGTAAAAACACACTTGTCCTGTAATTACTGACTCAAAGAAATGCAAGACAGTCTGAAGATTTACCTCTCTCTCACACACACACACAGGCAGCAGCCCTTAGGACCTGAGTTGTCATCATTTTATTTTAATTTTTTTCCCACCTTTTATGATTAGGTTAGAACATAGGATTGTTGTGTTAGTTTTAATAATCTAGTGAATGCTGCTGCCCCTGCGTTCCCTGTACGTTGGTGCAACAGTGCTGCTTAAATCCAGTCACTCAAACATGTCAAGACATTTAACACAACAAGTACTACGATAAGCTTTTAAGAAATAGGATTGTCTATTGGATATGAAAAAGAAAAATCATCTAGCCAGACAAGTCAGAGCTGAGACAAAGTCCGATTTCACTCAATTTGAAATGAATTAATGAACTAATAAACAAATTATTAATGGATTTTTAGGACAGTTTTGCGTCCTGTGCAGGGGTCAGTACATCATCAGTACAGGGCCAGTTGTAACTGTAAGACTGTACAGCTGTAACTACTCCATAATGTATTAATCAATGTTTCTGCATTCGATTATAATTTATTCAGGTAACAAATACAGTAAACCCTTGTTTTTCGCGGGGGTTACGTTCCAAAAAGAACCCGTGATAGGCAAAATCCGTGAAGTAGAAATCTTTATTTTTTTTACAATTAAATACTCAGAAAAAGAAGAGAAAGAACGAACAAACCATTTTA